CCGTCCCCGCTAAATCATAATTTTTATCCCTCACAACAAGTCACGCAACACGATTAGCGAAAGTATTTTCAAAGATCTCAGTGACGACGCATGGAAAAAAATCAGCGTTTTCTTAAATGTGCTTGGATTGGCACTACATATGATACTGCAATATAAATACAAGCAGAACATTTCAGAAACAAGGTAAAAATTCCTCATTTGCACTGTCATGGCCAGTTCCATATCAACAAAGGCAGGCAGGTTATTTCAATCGTTTTCCTTCAGAAGGACAAACAATGTACTAACAAATGTAACATGGTGTCATTTTAACGTGCAAGTTTCTTTCTCCACTTAAAGCAGGCGTATCTGTGCTTTTTTAGTGTTCAAGATGGATTCAATAGCTTGTTACGTACGAAAGTGAAAGTAGAACTTGTGATCTACCCGGAAGTCACCGGAAGTGAACGAAACCGAAAATGGAACGCGCACAAACTTTCCTCGCTAGCGAGAAAAGAAATTTGTTACTTTTTTTCAATTTTCGTATCTTGTAATTGTCGCTAATTTTAAAATGGATAGGTTTTTTGGAAGAAACCGAAAATTTTGCAACCAGCATGGACGCCACGCGTTTCGGTTTCTGGGAAGCGANGTTCAAGATGGATTCAATAGCTTGTTACGCACGAAAGTGAAAGTAGAACTTGTGATCTACCCGGAAGTCACCGGAAGTGAAAGAAACCGAAAATGGAACGCGCACAAACTTTCCTCGCTAACGAGAGAAGAACTTTGTCACTTTTTTTTCAATTTTCGTATCTTGTAATTGTCGCTAATTTTAAAATGGATTGGTTTTTTGGAAGAAACCGAAAATTTTGCAACCAGCACGGATGCCACGCGTTTCGGTTTCTGGGAAGCGAGAAGACAGGAGTTGTGTATCACTGAGTTCAAGTAACTGTTTGACACACGGACAGAACGATTTCCATGCATTGAACAAAATACTTCTAACGTAAGGCTTTCGATCACCGATGGCAAAACACCCCGACAAGAACCTTAAAATGTGCTTTACAAATGGAATACACGAGTAAGAAGCAAACCTATTACAAGTGCCACAAGATCCGGCCAAATAAATACATTTCAAAAATAGCTGAACAACTATTCGGCAAAAAATTGGTAAAATCTGGCAAGTTTATGGCCTACTTACCCCCATGTTGAAGATTTAGACAGACTTCGTCCTCTTCACAGCAGAAGTGGATGTCTCGGCGTTCTGTTCTAAAGATGTGTCGTTGAATGATTAAAATAAACCTTTGTATGGTGCGAGTTGGGAATTTTCCCCTCGATCCCATGTTTTCCGGGAATCTCGCCCCACGTGATCTATACAAAAGTGATAACCCGTGTGCGATGCAAAGACGAATTAATTCATCTGTAGTGCAGTTTAGGGTTTATCTTTTTCCTATTTCGCTCGAAAACGTTCCGATTGCATCAGGAGTATTAAATGCTGAGCTTAAGTATCCCATCTTCATGTTGCGTGATAGCATTGGCATTGCGTGAATTTCAGCAGGTGTCAATTGAAGAAGAGTGACAGGCTTTCTCGGAATTATTGCGCAGTTGTGATCGCTCTTCGATTCAAGGAAGGAAGTGTTGCATTTTTAATTCAGTTCTTCAAAGCTGCGATCGAAAGCTGCGTTTCAAGCTACGTAGAGGACGTAAAGATTGCTTTAACAATCAGAGACGATGTCACAGCGACCAAAGCTGTATCTTTTTAATTGTGACCGTACCTACAAATTGGAAGCTGTCGAAGGTTTGTTAAACGCAACGAAAGCGAAANGATTGCTTTAACAATCAGAGACGATGTCACAGCGACCAAAGCTGTATCTTTTTAATTGTGACCGTACCTACAAATTGGAAGCTGTCGAAGGTTTGTTAAACGCAACGAAAGCGAAACTCGTCGAACTCGGCTTTGACCCAGTCGTGGAGAAGCACTATTTCTCACTTGGTCAGATGTCTGACGTGACCACCAACACCATTCCCAAACTACACATGGACATGGCGTTCTTTGTAGTCCATGCACACGAATCTCGGCTGTCGATCAACGAAGACAACGCTGGAATCGGTTACGCCAATATCTACAGAGCTCTACTGGAAAGAACTGGTGAGTATTGAGGCGGAAGCACTTTTACTGGGTAGATTTCCCTACTCTACTATTTCTAAGAACTCAAACGTTTAAAACTTCGCAGCACTTTGTACAAGGTAAACAGCGCTTCATGTAACCAAGTTTTCTATACTTTTAGCCTATCTATAGTGATCAAAATTACTTGAAAATTAGACAAGTATGACTCGACACATATTTTTGCCCTGAAGGGAATCGAGCGAAAGTGAAAGTAATTATTCCCATAAATTTCTTTTTAAGCAATGCTAAAAAATGTTTCTACTAGAGGTGATGGTACACTAAACGTTTTTGCCATTTTGCTGAGACAATTATGCTTTATGCAACGTTTGTAATGTACATGCACGTCTCGCAACTGTTAGGCCAAGTGCAGGATCAATCTGGACGAAGTAGAGTCCATGTGTTAGTTCTTGCAAAGATTGCAAAGATTTTTTATGTTACGTTCATTCCTCGTTCTGTTAAAATTAGGCAGTGTCTCGTTCAACTTGAGCAACCGAACACGTAATTTGTAACATCCAAGTCCCTCATCCCGCGCGGCTTTGTGGGGTATAGAACTATTCATTGCAACTCCAGTGGCCAAACAAGAACTTATGACAGATATAAATACATGCCTTAGTAGGTTGTATTCACACTTGGTGCTCGAACACTGGTGCCTGAGACCCGGAACAAAAGTGTGTTGTGTTCAGCCACTGGTACTAAAAGTACCCAAGTAACATACAACGTTGAGAATTGGACTGGGGCTCGCGAGTGTGAACATAACTCAATAAACGGCACCCCTTTATTGCAGGGAAGATCCCCTTCCCGTAATTGCTCATTCTAGTTTTGAACGAAAGCCATGAGCCCATAGTTATTCACTTTATGTCATATGAGAAATTAGAGTTACCCATAACACCTTGTATAAGCTAACCAGATTGTTTTCTTTTAATTTCTCTTCTTTCGTTTATTTTTCTTCTCGTTTTCAAGATCATATAGACCAATAAGTTTGTTTGGATAATTCTTTCTAGAAGTTGACGGATCGTGGGAATGAAAAAACAATTTATATTTTTTTATCCTGCGTTTGGGAGTCAAATTAGCGGGAATTTTACAATACGCTGGTCAGTAGTTTTTGATTTTTACTTACTTATTACATTGTTATTAGGTCTTTCTTTTATTTTATACATGACCCCACATGCTTTTAGCTTTAAAACTTATCATGTTAAAATAAAGGCTATCCGTCTATCTACTATCTATCTATCTAAGTTAGTAATTAAGAAATAATGTCAGCTTTATATGATAGATTGAATATAAGTTAGAAAAGCAAGTTGCTCTAAGCGCGCAGTATTCTGTATCAGCCCTGACTATAAGCTTGTTTCGGTATTTTTATGAAACTAAAAGAGAAACAAACAAACTTGCAAAACGCACATAGTTATCTAGTGTAGTGCAGCGGACATAATTCGAAATCGGATCTAGGGCGAAATTCACAACTCTGAAATACCAATTCCTAATCATGAAAGTTTCTGTTGAATGTCGACGCCGCGAGAGTACTGGATAAATTGAACCCGCAAAAATGCCATGATTTGTTTTTCTATTTTATATTGAGAACTGGAATTTGTGATTTTTTTTCTCCGTAGGAGGGAAAGTCATTATCGTCATTGGAGGGGATGACAACTACAGGAGTGAAGACGAGAAAGACCGAGTCGTTATTTCACGATGGGCCTGGAGGAAGATATCCTCACAGTTTAGGGACGAATTTTTAGATGGAAGGAAAAGCTTCATCTTTTCTTGGAACAAACAACACCGAGAGATTCACGAAGAAGCATTATTGCATTTCTTTGAGCCAAGCAAGGAAGGACAGAAGTTTGAATATCAACCGAAACTAAAACAACCGGAAAGCGGCAAATCGGCACAGTCCTCGACCGAGAGAAACCCCTTGCAGAAATGTCAGTCCATGGATGAACGAAGAGGGGAAGGTATAAAAGGCAGTGGCTCTTTCAGTGCTGAACAAAGACGAGAGAAGTTCTCAGGCGGCCACTCCCACAGTGCTGACGAAACAAGAGAGTACAGCTTATTCACTCGCCACAACATTGCTGAACAGACAAGAGACGACCGCTTATTTGGTGGCACCTCTGGAACCGCCATGGCAACTTCTGAGGTTGAGTATGGAGCCAAGTCCAAAGAAACTCCTTCAGCAAGCACTGGTAGAGCTAAGGGTACAGGTAAAGAGCGGAGGGCGAATCTAGTGTATTTGTATAACTTAAAAGAATTTCTGGCTGTTTTCTTCATTTCATAAATTATAAAAAAATCGTTTTCGTTATTTTTGGTTTAGAAATGATATCATAGTAACCGGCGCTCGCTGTTAATGTCGCGATAGCGTGCATGGCAGGCGTTCAAAGGGGAGGAAGAGGGGGAAACTAGAAGCGCGATTGGAGGGACAAGGAAGGAAACGCCTGCAAGCACGCCGTTGTTTTTGTCATTCCGCGCTCTAATTAAGTGTGCAAAACGCAGAAAACTGTGAAATATCTGGCAGTCGAAATGATCCAATCAGAATCATGCCGCTTCGCTGCAAATCCCTGTCGGGTTCTCCAATTTCTTGTTTTTCTCCCCTACTTGCCGCTAGCCTGTCAACAGGCTCCGGCTGGAAGGGTCT